AAAAAAGAAACCACCTAAAGTATGAAGGAGAACGATAAATCGAGATTTATTTTAGACCTAATGAAGACAGTCATTGAACTACGAAAGAATAAAAACATTACTTTCTTTGAAAAGCCACTCTCCTGTGCTGTGTTCTTAAAATGATTATTCTGAAGTATAGCAAATTTTCTTGGTCTCCATAACTGTTCATCCAATATCTGCAGAGCATTTACAGAAGATAATAAAAAATTGTTTTTAAAGAAAACTTTAAAAAACATATAGTTAGTTTCTTATATATTGAAGAAACTCTTCACTTACATTTCATAGAAGGAATCCCATGGCCAAATTTTCTAAGAGTATTTCTTGTATCCAATTGCTGTGACTGACTGCGTTAATATATATATATATATATATATATATATAAGGAAACTTATAGCTGTGCATACTATGCCGTATTTTGTCGTGGCGAGTGGTAGATTTTAATATGGCGAACCAAAGGTAGGGCGTGTCCGATGGCGAGTGAATGACTTTATATCAGATACATTTTCTATGTTGGTTGATGTTACGTATTCAATACTATTGATGAGGCAATTTGGAACATTAATCCAGTTTATTCACATCTTGAAAACACATAAACATAAAGCAGGACGGCATTACACATAACAAAGACAACACACAACACGGCAGCCGGCTGATTACATGATTGCAGAGAGGCGAGAGCAGAAGAGAAGAGAGCGCGATTTCCAGAAAACGTATTTATAGGCAATTGGACGTCACGTGATTTTAGGAGGTGGATGGAGATAATTTCTTGTCCCCGGTAGGCGGGTAACCAATTAAAATAATTACATGGTTGTCCTGAAGGACTGGACATTAATAATTCAAGAGCTATTACAGATTATTAGAATTATTACATTTATATATATATATATAATATATATATACCATGTATATGCATATATTATATATATATATATATACATACATATAAAATGCTTCAAAAATATTATTTCATAAAAAGTATATAAATGCAATATTCTAGTAAAAAAAAGAAAGAATGACATAATTTCAAAACGTTCTCCTTTTATGAAAAATGCTTCTGAGATAATATTTTAAATACATGTACATAGCTAAGATGTGTCTGTATAGAGCATGAACTAGGATTTTTGAAATGTATAATTTAGAAGTGGATTAATTCATATTTTAAAATATTAAAGTAAGAGAGAGAGATTTTTTTAAAAACTGGTTATTATTTCAATTAGCCGTAACTCTGAAAGATATGTGAATTTTTCAAAAGTCCTATTTCATGTTCTTTATAGAAGCTTTAAATATATGCAGGCGAAATATTATTATTATACATGCATTTTTCAGAAAAGAAGAATGTTTTGAAAATATGTTAATCTTTCTTGCTCTTTTGCCAAAATTACATTTAAATAATTTTTTTATTGTAGTAATATTCTTAAAAAATTTTTGTATGTAGATTGTAATTCAAGAGATATCAAATATATATATATATATTATGCACATTTTTAAATTTACGGTTTCGAACGTAGTCACCATAAACAATAGTATAAGTTCTTATTTATTTAACACTAGATTGCCCAAGGAAGTCATTTTGACTGCTTTTTAATTTCATTTAGAAAAACAATTACGTATATAATGACACCATTCCTTAGACATTTTTAGGACATATGTCTTTGCCAAGTGAAATAAAAAATTTTTACTGTTAATATTTATTAATAATTTGTTATATAACTGTAAATAATATAAAAATTATTAAAAATTAATTTTAAATAAATTTTTTTACACATTAGTTATTCTTTCATAATGCAGTCATTTTGACTGCTTTTGGGCAGTACAGGTATATACTAAATTTCAGTCTTTCTAGTGTTAATGTTTTTATCATGCAAATCCCCAAATATGAATATCAATGTCTGTAATTTAAAATAAAGTATAAAAATTCCTAAGAAACGGAAGTTTAAATAAAAATTGGAAACACTCTTGTAGTAAATGTTTAAAAACTATAGTTCTATCCATATCTAGGAACAAAATGCAAAATTCTAAAACATGAAGAATGACTCAGAAGAAGAGATTAAACATTATTTTCTAAGATGAGGCTTAAGCTAGACTCTATTCAAATCAAGTTTTCGAAGTTACAATTTCAAGAATTTCATTCCCAGAAAATAGCAGCTTTTTCTCCAAAGAAAGCACCACGAACAAAAAAGAAAGTCTATGAACTCCACAGAATCTTTCTATACAAAAGATCCACTTGAGACGCATAAAAATCCTCATTCAGCACCCACCTCGTGAAAAAAATTTGCACTACAAAAGGTTCCGGCTCAAGCCAAAACCATTGACCCCTATTTGACCATCATCATCACGAGGTCATTTAATTGTCTGGCTACTTATTCTTGCAGAGGGAGACGATTCACACCTTTTTAAATATCCGCTGCGATTATTTACACCTTTGGGTGTTGGTTTAGGACCACTTTCAACGAGTCGTAGGTAATTGGCTTTACAAAAGGTAGGTCTCAGAAGTGTCTGTTGAGGAAGTCGGTTTTCCATCAGGATCCGCCGTTTTTGTACGAGAACATGCTTTGCATGGCATGGTAGGTTAACGACAAAGTGAGTGTGGGTGAAGCTTTAACCTCTTGACATCTGGGTTCCTTGTTGGAACTTTGGAGCAGGAAAATATTAGGAAAAAAAAAAACCGTTCGAAGAAAAGAATAAACAAATGAAAACTGTTCTCTCATTTGCTGTGAATCTGCATTATTTGGAAATAAGAATATTATCCATACAATAAATGAATGATGTAGTATTTCTCTTCTAACATTTTCCGCAGACTTTTTTCATTGAAATTCTGAATGGAAACTTTTCATGCGAGATTTATAAAAATAAACGTATTATAAGGCCTTACTTTTAAGGTATCTGACTACGTTCGGAACCATGATTTTGCAAAATCGTATAAATGATTAATATTTATGATATTTAGTATCACTTAGATTAGAAAACGCATATAAAATTGTTTTAAGAATATTATTACAATAAAAAATTATTTAAGTACAATATTTTGGCAAAAAGTGAACATAGAATGACCCATTTTCAAAACGCTCTCCTTTAATGAAAAATGCTTCTATTATAATATTGTAATACTTTGCCTGTATATAGCTCAGACCTTTGTAAAGAGGCTGAACTAGAATTTTTGAAATATATAACTTAGAAGTGGATTTATCCATATTTTACTACAACAGAGGGAGAAATTTTAAGAAAAAACGCCGATAATTATTTCAATGGGTGGTAACTCTGAAAATAATGTGAATTTTTCAAAAATCGAAGTTCAGACTCTCTGTAAAAGTCTATATAAGCAAAATATTATTAGTGTAGAAGCATTTTTTATAAAAGGAGAACGTTTTTAAAAAAGGTTATTCTAAGTTAATTTTTTGCCAAAATATTGTATTTAAATATTTTTTTGTCATAATGTCAATTAAAAAAATTTTATACATATGTTCTAATCTAAGTGACCCTAAATATTATGAAAACTATCCATTTATGCACTTTTTTAAAATCACGGTTCCGAAAGTTCATAGTGGAGGGTTTTCTAAAACTCAAGTTTGGAATCATACATGATTATTTATGTATGATGTAGAGAATTTATGCAATAGAATTTTAGAATGGGAACAATTTGTGAAATAAATACGCTTGAAAAGAAGTTTAAATCTATAAAAACGGATGTTTTGCTGAAAGTGGGAATTTAAGATTCTTGTGGAAAATTCCAAGGAGTAAATTACACAATTCCTCTCTCTTAATATTCCTCTTCATTATAATTTCGAATGAAAATCAGTGTCTGTATAACAATTTTTTTCCTTTCATAGAAAAATATTTTTGAAAGAAGAGAAATTTATTTCAAAATGTTTAATCTCATAACAAGGGTTTAACTGTCGCTATCTGATTATATGTGCTGATCCTGTAGCCAATTTTAGCATTACAAAGGGAAAGGAAATAGAGGATTGCTTTAAAACAATTTCATAAAAAAAAATATTTTGCTTACATATATAACATCATACAACAACAAAAAATAATGGTTTAGTATTAAATACCATACAAAGAAACAGGATATGGAATTCTAAAAAATTATAACCAAGTAAACCTATTTTTGTATGAAAAAATCAGTGATGAGTAATATAATCAAACATTACTTTGACACTATTTAAATATCGTTATTAAAATCTGTTAAAATTTTTAAACACAAATATATTAAACTGTTTATTATTAACAAGAGGAAGATTTATTGAACACTTCTATTCTTAAAATAGCGAAAGTACTTTAATCTTTTCGCCATGACAGGCTTAAGTGGAAGTGAGGATAAAATAATTTTTAAAAAAGATTGATACATACGAACCGCAAAGAAAAACTATTTTAAAATCTACTTAAAAGATTTTTTTCATTTGAGGGAGGATCAAGCGTCTTTGTATGGAGAATAAAAGGCTTCTTTGAATGAAGACAGACTCTCGAAACACTTGAAAAAGTCCACCGGGCCTATCAGTGATGTGAATTGTAGTGTTCTTAAGAGTCTCCAACACTGATTCTTCATCAGTGATTCTCAATACTTAACTTTTGGTGGTTCTAAATAATATCAATTTGAAATTAAAATAAATAAGTGCATTTGGGAAACATTTGAGTTAAATTATTCGTGAAAATATACAGAATTTTTAAATTTATTCGTTGATTAGAAATCAAGGAAATTAAACTAAACAAGTAATATAAAAAAATGTTTTAATCAATTTCTACTTAGATCAACGAAGAAAAATTTTATTTTAGTTACAATTAATATAAATGTGCACATACATATGACAGAATCACAATATTAAGTGACAAAATAGAAAGCGATTTTCCTTTCAATTTTCCTTTCGTTATATGGTGTTGGGCTATTTTTTTTGTTTGTTATTATTTATTCATTAATTAAATTTGATTAATCCAATACAATAGTATAGTAAAAAAGAAATCACGTTCTCAGAAATTAGGATTATCCCAGTTGGGATTCGAACCTTTGAATTAGAAGTCCAACGCGCTGTTCATTGAGCTACAGGAACACAGCGAATGTTTTGCCCTTCTATATATGCTATTGGACTATTATTTTTGTCTGTTACTATTTATTCATTTTTTAATTTAATTAATAAATTAATATTTGAAAGAACTGTATTAACATCAAGTGTCATCCACTAAAAATTTCAAAAAATGGATTTGAATTTGAATGGATGAATAGAAAGTATTTTATTAACAATTGAAAATTTGAACAAGATATATATATATATATACAGGGAGAGAGGGAACTAATAGTAGGAATTGAAAAATAAGTAGAGCTGAAGATGTTTGTACGTTTAGACATTTGAAAAAGGAATATCTAAATAATAAACTATACGAAATTGTGTTAAAAAATGATAACTTTTGTGTTAAGTAAATATAAATAAGAATTAGTTTAAATATTAATCATAGAAAATTATCTTATTAAACAGCTAAGTAGTTGATTGTTTTCAAAAATATTCTCTTAATTTAATGCATTTAGTTTAAAATATTTGTTTTGTAAGACTTTAAATGTAAATCAAACAAAATAATGAAACCTTGCCTTTTTTCTTAATTGAGTTATAGCTGAAGCAGAACAAAGAAAAAACTCAGAAATCCTTGATAGTAATCAAGAACTTCCATAAATATAATACAATCAAAGAAAGAAAAATTATAAGAAGTTTGATTAAAAGGAAAATTATCTGTAATTCTTGTAATACCTTAGTTGAATATGCTTTTATATTTGAAAAAATTCAACTGCTTTCTAAAAAGTAATCATCGAATTATATTTTGAGGAGCAAGCTAGCTGCATTTCCATAAAATATTGTCTTATTAATGATCGTTTAAATAAATAGTGAAAATCATTCTTTCTTTCAATAATACACTTTATTGTCTCACTGAAGTATTGTTCGATTCTTTATTTTTGTTTCCTTATATCAAATTATTACTTATCTAATTTATTTAAATAAATCTTTTGAAAAATTAAGATTTTTTCAGTAATTTTTTTGTGTAGTTATCATATTTAAACTTTCTAAAATGAACTAACAGTTAAATTTTCCTTTATTAGAAATGAAATTAATGACTTTTCATGAGTAGAAGTTCTAAAGTTCAATAAAAAAAGAAAAAGAAAACCCAAACAATTGTCTTTTTAGTTATAGAAATTTAGTAAGGATTTAGAAGGAGTGCGTATGAGTATAATTTTTACGTTCATTATTCTAATATTTGTATTTGAAATGTGAGTATTAATTATAAATGAACGGAAAGCTGAAATTCTTACAAAAAATTCAATTGAAAAATTTTTTGCTCAAGATATTTGGTGATCTCATTAAGTCAATCAACATTAAATTAAAAAATTGCTTTTAAGAAAAGGGATGACAAAAGAAGAAGATAATTTGAAATATCTATATCCTCATGTATTTTTAGAATCTCATTTAAATAACACTAAATTATAATATGAAAATACACAAAGCTCAAGAAAATTATTTCAAATCTTTTTGCTCGAAGAGCTTTTGTTTTTTCTGGAATTAATTTTTCTCTTTATTTGCAATGTAATTTAAAAATGAAAACAAATAAGTTACTCCCTAAAAAAGATTCATATCTCAGTAAAGGACAATGAATAATTCGCAATTATTAATTAGAATTCCCTGAGCTATACTAACCTTGTAACAATTTTATATAGTTTACGAAAATAATCAAACGTTGCAGATTTTTAAGATTAAGATGAAATATGGATTATTTTCTATTTTTATTAGTATGATTGTTTTAACCATGGCTGTGGAGTCGGACAGAGTTTGGGGTAAAAGGAGTCGAAGTCGCTGAAAACACGTCGACTCCGATGTCAGTTTATGTTGTACATCAGGGGTGTCAAACTCGCGGTCTTCAACGGACGTTTTTGAGGCCCGGTCAATTTATTGGTACACAATAACATACAAGTATAAGAAAATAGCAAAGCAATTCAGAATAAAAATAAGATAAGTAAAATTCGCTATACATTTTCTTATAATTATGTTATTTTTGTGCTAATATTAAACAAAATGTGTACATTTATTTTGAAAATATCACAATTAAGTAAATACGGTACTTAAGCGTGGATAGTATCTAAAATATTCCAAAAGTAGGGATTGCAATATCGGACTAAAAGTTCAATACCGGTATTCGATATTTTTAGGTCGTAATATCGGGATACCGGTAGTAGAAATTTTAGGGAAAAAAAGAAAAACACAGGCTCTTCTTTGTTTTATTTGCCAGTTTTATTAGAGGGTGTAAGTATCACAAAAAATAATGTGTAATTTATAAATTGTAACAATATATAAAGAATCACAAAAAAGTAAAGGAACATCTCTTATTTATTTAAATTACAAAAAAAGTGTAAACATCACTATTCAGTCTGTGGTTTTCATCATATAAATAATGAAACCAGACTGAAACATTATCAACTGATTTTATATGTTCTTTAAAGTTATTTTTATTCGTTATTATGGGTTATTATTTATGAGTATATATATAATAAATCTGAAAAATATTTTGTACCCTAAAGTATATGTAAATATAATGCGAATTACAAACTCATCAATTTGAAACATATCGAAATATTACGCACTTTCTTCACAGCTACAACCTTGTTTTCCCAGATACGAATATCAGACTACGATTCCTGTGCGTGTGCAGTTTCGCTCTGAGCTGCATTAGGATAATTTTGGTCTATTATTTTATTTGAAAAAATATTTAATATTATTAATATATTCCAGCTTTTGTTCAAGAATTATAGTTTTGTGAGGTTCATCTGAAATATTTGCAACCATTTTCCCTCTAGTGCATTATTTTTTAAAAAAAATTCAATGCATGAAAAAGTTATTTCAAATTAAGCTTACAGTTTTGTGCAGCTGTTTTCTGTCTGGTAAATTAATGTTCAAGAAAGGAACATTGCTATTTCATTAAAATATTTTATTATTTTTAGTGAACAACTGCTTATTTATTCCAGGCCTTTGGACTCGGTATGTCTATATCGAAGCCAAGTGGTAGTAAAACTAAACGGAAAAGCGCTGACGAGCATTAAGTATTCCAAGTATAATGGGAATTAGAATATTTTTGATGTGAAGTAAAAGAAAAAATAATCTGCTTGATGTGTAAAAATATTATTAATGTACCAAAGTTATCGGTGCGAACTGTTACTTTTAGTAATTAAAGGAAATAAATATTCTCTTAAAAATAGTATTAATGACGCTGCACTTCGGTCAGTTTTGAAAGTAATAACTGCAAAAGAAATTTCTCCCGAAATACGAAGGATAGTAGAAGGGAAGAGATGTCAAGTGGTAGGACGTAAACATTAAATTTTTCTTGTTCTTTGAAAAAATATTTATTATAAAGTATAATTCGAAAGAAACCTACGTTTTTATGAATATTATTTTTTTTTCCTTCACCTGAAGTTAAATCTTCTTTGTTTGGCCCAAGTTCCGCGCCCCCCCCCCACCATTGAGTTTGACTCCCTCGTTGTACAGTTTAAATTTGAAATGAAATTAAAGTGAATGGGAAAAAATTAGTGACAAACTAAATTATAATTTTTCATTTTTTTTTTATTATGAATTAGATTTTGAGAAATATTATAATAATATTGAAAAAGGGTTAAGGGGCAAAGTGAATGAAAATAAGAAAACCAAGAGCCTTCAGATACAAAAATGAAAAAATAAAATACAGTTGAACCTGTTTCTGTGCGGTAGATAGGGACCACATGAAAATAAACGCACAAAAAAATATTCAAAAATTTCATAAATTCTTACATATAACAAACTAATTCGTGGAAATACTACAAAAAACTTTTTTTATGCGGTGGATAGGGACCGCATAAAAAAAGTCGCATTTATAAAATATGCCAATTATTTACGAAATTTATGTAAGAATACTTCCATAACAAAATAAATAATTAAATATTGCACATGGAAACATTTTAAAAACATATAGTTTCTCATTGTATAAACGGATAAATTTTCAAAATGTACATACATAATTCATTGCTACTCATTTTAATCCAAAGCCCTGTAATGAATAAGTTCAAAATCGCTTTCATCACTTGAAGTTACAATTTCAATTGATTTATTTTTTGACAACATAAAAAGTAAGAGAAGTTATTGGTCGAAGGTCGGGTGGTCAGTTGCTTGTAAATGTGACGATAACCAGCTATACATGATTGAAGCCATTTTTGGAATTTTATACTCCTATCTTAACTAGTATCTATTTTCGAATTTGTTGGAAAGCTGGATCCCTGCATATTTTTATCTACTCTCAAAGAATCCGGCTTCTTGTCCGTCTTCATAATTTATCAAATTATTGATAATGTCACTTTCACTGAAAGTTTCGTCTTCAATCAAGCGCGGGCTGCCGGAGCGTTGAGAGAAAGCAACTGAATGCGCATTGTCGGGAGACTGTTTATAACAAATGAACAGAGCTTCTTGAAGTGTCTACATTTCAATGGCGTAACGTACACCCTCACATCACGAGGAGAGGCGCAGGACTCTAGGGGACTCTGACTTACGCTAAATACGTATTTAACCAATTTATAGAATATTAAAGGCAAAACCTGCCTTTCCACGGGGGGGGGGCCGTTCTAACTTTCTCTGTTACACCACTGGTAAATAGATAGAAAACTTTACAGTGTAGCCAAAGCCATTGAAATTCATACACCGCATAAAAAAAATTTCGCCCATAAAAAATCGCATAAAAGAAGACTGCACAAAAACAGGTTCTACTGTACAAGATTCCCACACAGTTCTTGAAGATATAGAGAAATATGATTGTTCTCTCAAGAAAAACTTTTTTAGAATTCTTATACAAACCTATCCATAAAAATTAAAAGAAGTATAGGCCTGTCAGTAACAGCTCTTCCCGTTACTCAAGTTAGAATGGAAGGACTATTCTCGGCACTGAAGTTTATGAAATCGGATTTACGGTCCTCTAACAAAGATCTTGCCGAAGCTACACAGTTTCTTAAAAATTACTAATGTTACTTTTTTTATTTCTCAATTAATGCTAATTA